GTCTCATTATATGCTCCTAGTTACTTGTTTTTATGCACAGATGCTAATAATCTCTGCATAGGCTATATCAAACTACAGCAGACCATAGAACATTTTCCGCCCACTCTTGATGAGATCCATCTATGCATCCTTTCATCACACACGTAGACGAAAAAAATCGCCTCAAGATTATTTGTTTCCATTCGCATATCCGTCGGGTTGCGCATACCACTCATTTGTATCATCAAAAAGTGAACTCAGCACATCAGCCAACCCGTTTTTGCCTCCACAGACCTCACGACCTGCTGTACCAACTCCAATGTCTCAGCTCAATGTCTGACTCACCTTTGCTCATATCTGCCGATGCAGTTCACCAAAGCTGTCTTCATGGACATCGACTGTATCATCCACATTCCAGTTGCCTACCAGTGCCACGCCAGCTATTGGAATATCGAGACCTGTTGCCGTGACAACAATCTCACGGAGCCTTGCTTACGCTTCTGCCAAGCCGATGTCTCGCCGCAGGACATTCGTGGTGATGACTTCTTCTGCTTGGAGGAGGCCATGCAAACGATTAGCATGTGCATTGGAAAGTTGTCGGGTAATTCGTAAATTTGTGGATGTATTTGGCTTCTTTTTTAGACACGAATACCAGTGAAATCTGTCTTTTTCAAGCAAACTTTTATATTAAGGCTAGTATGGCCGCTCAACTCGTCTAATCGTGGCATCAGCATGAAAAGTGGGCTACTTTGGTATGGTTAAGATGATTCAACTTATTTTGACCCAACGAAACCAAAGTCTTTTCAATAAGTCAGCCGCTGATTCTGAATCATACATCATCTCGCCTCGTCAACTGGAAGATGGACAGATCAGCTTCCAGAGTTTGTCGGTTGGAATTATTACCTTGAGCGAGGCCAAAACTGTATCCATTGTCAATTAATGCTGAGGGGGTTGGGGCAAAAATGTTACTTTCAACATCGAACTTGGTTCCACCTTGCAGGTCAAAAAATAAATTCTGATTTTATTGTGACATAAATTTTCATTTCGAAGTCAAATTGGAATGAAAGTAAATCGTTTTTTTCGTAAAATATGCTTTCTTGCCCCGTCAATGTCTGTCATGGTAGTAAAGATGAATTGAGAATGAGATTGCCATAACAATCTCTACGCATTTTGACCATTTTGTGATATTATTAAAAATGCTTGCTTCCACAACGGCAATAAGTAACCTTAAATCAAACGAGTAAACAGTAAAATATTCAAATTCACTCAAATTTTTTGAGCCTGTTCTGCATTCCCTGAAAAATTACATTTGAAATGACTATTCCCATTTTTATTCAAAAGTGATAAATTTGTATAACCATCAAAACGAGATTTCTGTACCAACCTCATTCTCAACTCGACTGTACTATCAGGACAGAATGAAAACATACTTTACGAAAAAATTAATTCCTTCTCATCAACTTTCCTTCTGAAGTAAAATGTTCATATCAACTGCAGATTTGTCCACACATAAAGTTCATTAAGGTCATCAAAATGTCCCTCTTCATTTTCTATGGACATTTACTGTGGAAATTTAATAAATACCCCAAATTGATGGACATTTGTACCTTCAAAATCCACCGAAAATTGTCCCCATACTCCAAACTGTTTTGTCCTGTAGAGAAGTGATCTAATCTCGTCTTCACTATTTGGTAGTGTTGCCATGGCGCCCTAGATAAACACGCCTTGTTCACAATTATCCACCATACCATTCATGACAATTTCCAGCGCTATTCTGTGGACTTGACATATTTCAACTTATAGCACTTCTATGCCAGACGAATTGTGGCAAGATGCGTTCAACTAGGTCGCCATGGCAACAGAACTAAATTGTGAATACAAGATCACACTACCTGTATTCAGCGAACAAAGTATGTGACCAAAGTAGAGGTCGCACCAACATGATATTCATATATTCAACTAATTTGTCCTATGACTTGACACTTTTGGTTATATGAAGTAGACGAAAATTCGCATCTTAAAAAGTGATTTGATAGTGCAGATGATGAACATGTATATTATCATTTAGGGCTAGAACGTACTAAGATCCTTTCTAGCAATAGTTAGAAGATTTTTTTCAATTTAAGCAAATGTCTTTGCCTCCGACATTTTGCCGCTTCATGTTCGAAAGATACTCACAGTTTTTGGGGCCAATCATGTCTGAAAAAAAATGACCACAATCATCTAATTGACGCTATTTGAGCTTTACAAAAAGAACATTTAACGTTGCCCATTCGCTGAAAAGGTTTTCCCAATCATGTTAGACTGCAGTTTCAAGCTCGTCTCACCCGCCAAATGGTATATGATATCGCGTCGCCGGCATAAAGTGGCCAAAAGTGTGCCCTCAACACACAGGCATGGATGACAGTTGATCAGAGATCAGATGTGATCTTCAAGGCAAGCCAGATCTCTTCTAGTTCACAGATGAAGAGCATTTCTACAAAAACAGCGTCAAGTGCCAAAACCTACTAATTACCCAATTTGTAAAGGATTTAAAATCCTCCCTTAAATATTTTTTTATAATTCAACCCAGTCCTAGTTACCGCTTTCAAAAGCATCATGCTGAATTGCTTACAATTCTTTTACTTTTACTCATTTTAGCCGAAAAAATCGTTGCTCGTCGTGAATTCTTCGTTTCTATGGTGTCGCAAAACTCAGTTAATATCTCTTTTACCCATTCGCGCTTCTACAAAAATGGGCCAAATGTACGTTATTTAATAATTAGAAAAACTTTATTTACTCTCAATTCTAATTTGGCCATCTTATTAATCCAAAATGAGGACAGAAAATCCTCTCCTCTTCAGTACTATCCAGGTAAATTTCTCAACAGCCGATGTTGAAGCCATCATCTTGTG